TGTGGCCCCTAGCTGAACTGAAGCAGCATTAATGTGGGGCCAAGATCAATAAAGATTCATTGAGTACTTAGGTCAAGATCAGCAGAAGCCAAAGCAGAGCAACCTGACTTAGGGAGCCTGACCATCAGCCCGTATGTGCTTGTATGTATGTGTGCTTGAGGGCATGTATACATGTGTGCCTGTATGCTTGTATGCATGTGTGCTTGTGTGTGTGTGTGTGTCACTAGGAAACACACCTCTGGCAGCGTTCTTGAGGCTGTTTCCAGAGAAGTTTAACTGAGGAGAGAAGCCCCTAAATGTGAAAAGCATAGTGTTATGGACTAAGTCCCAGACAGAATGCAAAGGAGAAAAACCAAACCAAGAGTCATAGTGTAGTCTGTAATCCCAGCATGGAGGAATTCAAGACCTGCCCCAGCTGTACCCTGAGTTCAAAGCCAGCCTGAGCCACATGAGACAGAGTGGGGCACATTCCCTATTCTTGGTTCCTGATGCATGTGTTTTAGTGAAAATCCTCCCCGTCTGCCACCAGAGCCACAAGTTGCCCCCACTGCCATGCTTTCCCACCTTGATAGATTGCATTCTCAAACCATGAACCTAACAAATCCTTCATCCCTGAATTTAATAATTGTTTAGCATTTAGTCACGGCGTGTAGCTCAGTTGGTGCAATGGGAGAGAACTGCCTGAGGAGGTCATCTGCCTTGAGTTGGGAGTGTATAGACCCAGGAAAGAACCTACAAGTGAAGGGGCAGACAGGAGCCCCTGGTTTCCTCCACTTCCTATCATTATCTAAAAGTAACCGACCCCAACTATACACTCACTGGCTTATCTTCTTATTATTCTGGGTAGAGAACTCAAAGAAACTCTTAGAAGTTTGAAAATAAAAGGTTCCAGTTTTTAAACATGGACGTATCCCTAGCCATTTCCCCATCTATATCTTCCTTTCATTTTTAAGAAGAAAAAGGATAACAAAACAATCAAAGACCAAGAGCTAAGAGCTTTACTCTTTGGTCACAGATAGAAGGGATAGAAGGATAGCACTTCAGATAAATCTCAGAGCCAGGCGCGTTGGCTCACACTTGAATTCTAGCACTGGGGAGATGGAGGAAGATCCAAAACTTCAACATCATCTTTAGCTACCTGGGTGAGTTTGAGAACAGCCAGAGATGCGAAACACCTGTTTCAAAAGGAAACAGCAACCAAAGCCAATAACAACAAAGCAAATACCAACAACAATGGTAATAATAATACTAATACTAATAAAATAAAAAATAAATTCAGGACCTGGACTCAAGACAGGACTCATCTCACTCTCTGTCAGCAACTGGCAGCTTTAACTTTAGGGAAATCATTTCTTCTCTCATTTTCCCTGCTTGGAAACTGTGCCCGCCCGAGACATAATCTAGCAAATAGAGGTCATTCAGCATCCACACCACTTATCTGCCACCTAATGCTGAGTTTCCTGTTATCTCCTGTTCCTTCCCTCAGACAACTATTTCCTTCAGGGCATCACAGTCAGCCTCCTGCATTGGCCCAGACACATAAAGACACATGGACCATGGGGAATCCAAATCACCTAGCCCCGGGCTGCTAAGGACAGAACTGAATTGACAAGATAGAAGAACAGTTGAAATTTCCATGAGCACAAAGATGCAGGAGCTGTGGCAATCCTTTCCATTGCAATCCCCTAGACCAGAGCATTGCTGAATAAGTAACTAAATTTGTTTAAATGGGGAACCTGCATAAGACCGAACCAGACTCCCTTAGTATAGGTGACAACCGAGTGACTGGGACAATGTATGAGGCCACTGGCAATGGGTCCAAGATCTAGCACTAATACACAAACAGACTTAGTAGAGCCCATTCTATATGGAGAGATACCTTGCTCAGCCTAGACATAGGGGTGTTGGGGGTGGAGAGGTTCCTTGATCCTGCCTCAATTAGATGAGGGGACAGACTTAGTATACTTCCTAGGGGAGTCCTTACCCTCTCTGAGGAGCAGATGAGAGGTGGGGGTGAGTGGGGGGAGCTGGAGGACAGTAGGGAGGAAGAACTGGGATTGGAATGTAAAAAAATAAAGTAATAAAAAATTTAAAAAGAGATCACTGAGTCTGCAAATAATTTTTATGAAAATAATCCACAGAAATTGATGGAGCATATGGGATCACACTGCACAGACAAACCTTAAAGGACTGAGGTGTTTTCATTTATTTTGTTTTGTTTCTCCTTCCACCTTTACGTGAGTTTAGAGTTCATCTCAGGTTGTCAGGCTTTGTGACAAGTATCTTACCTACTGAGCCATTTCATCATCCCAAGGTGTTTTTAAAAAAAAAAAACTATTACACAGAAAGTATCATAGTACCCGATTGCTACCCAGTGAACACATGATTTTTCATTCTATCTTTAAGCAAGCTGATGTTTTTCTCTATAAAAAAGGATTTATACTTGCTACACATAACAAGTAAAATGCCAATCTCTAAGTAAAAAGTGAATACTAGCAGTTACTCTTGAAATTGAGGCAGGAAGATAGAAGCCTGGGGTACAGAGTCAGTTCAAGACAATGCTGGACAAGCAAAACCCCACCAAAAAGTAGAAAAATTTTAAAAAGGGTTAAGATGGGGCTGGAGAGATGGCTCAGTGGTTAAGAGCATGTATGGCCTTGGAGAGAACCCAAGTTCAGTTCCCAGCACCTAACTAGACTCACAGCTCCTGTGACTCCATCTCTAGAGGGCCCAATGCCTCTTGGCTGCGCTCTTGTGTGTAAACCCACATTATGGTGCATGTGTTTATGTATGTAATTACATTTTGTTTGTGTCTGTGTGTCTACGCATTAGCTACATACACAAACACTTAGACTCAAGCATAAGGTAAGAATTAATAAAACAAAATCTGTAAAAAAAAAAATCAGAGAATATAGTGAAAATGCCCTGAGTCCCATCCCCAGTAATGTGTGGAAGAATTAGTAAATTCCAACACAGGACTAAAAAAAAAAAAAAAAAAACCAAAAACTGCTTCCTTCTTCCTACAATGCTCATGATCTGAATCTCTGAAACCTTTAAGGTTGTGTTTATTAGTGTTAAATAGCAAATGGAAATTAACATTGCAGATGGAATTAACCAACCCCAAATAAAAGAGTGAGTCCAGTGTGTCACAAAGATCTTTAAATGGTCAAAACCAGGGCAAAGACACTAAACCCGGGCAGTGTTGGCTTTAAGGTGGACAAAGGGACATGAATTCAGGAATGTGTGCCAAGTTCCAGAAACAAGTAAGACCGGAAGTGAATTTCCTTTAGAGCCTCCAGAGAGAAGACCACCCTACCCTTGCTTGACTTCAAACCCACAGAACCCAAAGACAAGACTCTGAGCTTTATGCAGCTCGTGTGTGTGTGTGTGTGTGTGTGTGTGTGTGTGTGTGTGTGTGTGTGTGTGTGTGTGTGTGGTTATTGGTTACAGCAGTCACAGCACAGGTGAGGTCTCATGCTAAAACAAAACAGATCATGCAACTTCAGAGCACACTGTCATTGAGACCACAGCAAGAAGCACCAGCAGGAGACAGCTGAGCAGTTCCTAAGATGTCCTAACTACCTTTGGGTACACACGTAATGGGCTGCATTTGAGCACAGATAAAGAATTAACTACTCTCATGGGGTCAACTGTGATCCACTCCATTCGTGGGTTGACATTGTAGAACCGCCTACCCCCAAATTTGAAACTATTTACTAATAGGAACTTTGAAAAGATGAGCTAAGAGGACTGACCTTGGTCTAAGACAACTGATGTGCTTATAAAATGAAGCTGCAAAGGCAGACAAATGTAGGAGGAGGAGGAGGAGGCCCAGGATAAACCCTTCCCATACAGCTCAGAAGCGGTGGTCCTACAGACGCATGCACTTTGCACTTCTGCCTCTACAACTTAAAACCAGAGTTCTGGTTGCTCAAACCCCTATCCCACTGCTGATAATGAAGGCACGGGGGAAAGGGTACAATTTGCAGTGGCACAAATAATTCTTGACGTCTCCGTGAGAGGCTCTGTCTCTGGGTGTCTGTGGATGAAGACGCTGATGGAGGCAAGACAATAAACCAGGCAGTTCGCAAAGTCCAGTGTCTGTTCAGAGCTATGGCAGTGTGCCAGCAGCTCGCTGCTCCCCCCACACCCCCGACATCCAGTGGCTGAGCAGGGGGCTAAGTAGGGAAAATCACTCAGGGAGAAGGAAGTGACACGGGAGAGAGAGACAGAGACAGAGAGAGAGAGAGAGACAGAGAGAGAGAGAGAGAGACAGAGAGACAGAGAGACAGAGAGACAGACAGAGACAGACAGAGAGAAACAGAGAGAGAGGAGAGAGAGAGACAGAGAGAGACAGAGAGAGACAGAGAGAGACAGAGAGACAGAGAGAAACAGAGAGAGGAGAGAGAGAGACAGAGAGAGACAGAGAGAGAGAGAGAGAGAGAGAGAGAGAGAGAGAGAGAGAGAGAGAGAGAGAGAGAGAGAGAGAGAGAGAGGATGGTAATAAGATTGAGGGACCGATGGGGAAAACAGGAAGAAGAAAATAAAACGATGAAAGATTAAGGAGAAAACAGGTTTGGCCCAACAAAGGACGACTCACATAGTTTTGAAACATGAGATAACACAAATATTATATCATCCAACAAATATCATCTCACAACCTTGGGCAATAACTGTAACTGCGGTGAGTACCAACAAGGTACTCATCTGAGGGTCTATGGACCCTCCTGTAAGTAATCCCTGTGCCCTCATTTTTTTTCTATACCGTCTAGGTCCTGGCTGTTTCATCTTAGTGTTCTCATTGCCAAAACTGAAGTTTTCATGTCATAAAAAGCTAGAAGTCAAAAGCCACAAAACACTTGCTCCAAGGAAATACAAACAAGCACCTTGGTTCTCAGACAGACAGCCTGGCCATGATACCACCAGCTCCCCCTCCTCCCCTCTCTTCTCTCCAAACTTCAAACCCACCCCAGATGCAACCCCCAGAAGCCAGCTGCTACCTTGTCTCTCCTCTGGTAACTGCGGTTTCAGATGGAGCTGGCCTGTCACGCCACTGGAAGGGACAGGTGAGGCACAGCAAGGTGTGCCAGCCTCAAGGAAACACTTTCCAGTCTCAACTTCCCCCCGTGGGGCGTGGCAGAGGATGAAGTCTGGGCGGGTGCCCCACAAGGGGAAGTCTGCGGGCCCTGAGGTTTCCGGAACTCACCACACAGCCGCCAGCAGGAAACCTCGGCCGAAACTGTAAAAGTTGGACTCGTTGCCTAGCGACGTGCTCATTTTTCAATTGCAAGGTGAACAGTGCAGGGGAGAAGTTAGTTCAGGTAGGCACGAAGTCACAATGAAGGACAACAGCGCCACCTCCTGGCAGATGCCGTATCAGCAGTTTCCCCGGAAATTTGCAATTGTCAAGGAGATCCCAGGAAAGGTTCCCCGCCCCGAGGTTTTGCCAAGTGTTACAAAGAAATAAGGACCTCGACCATGACCCGAATAGACCTAAAAGGAGCCGATGCAAAAGACGTTCTAGAAGTAGGTCGTAATATATTTAGTATGAAGTCTTAGAAACTCATTATGTGCGGGACCCTCGTGGGGAAAGGCCTGTGGGAAAATAGTTACCTACACTCCTTTGTCTAAAGCAGCAATATCTCAGACTCCTTGGGGGGGGAGGGTCGATATCAGATATCTTGCACATCAGATAGTCACATTACAATTCATAACAGTAGCGAAATTGTGATTATGAAGTAGCAACAAGATAACTATATGGTTGGGGTCACCACACCATGAGGGACGATGTTAAAGGATCGCAACATTAGGAAGATTGGGAGTGACTGGAAGCCCTCTTGATCTACAACTGAGTCTCAGGGGAGACTTATAATTCAACTGGTAGAAGTATTTCACCAAAAAGGGCCTTTTAAAGCCCTAAAACATGGTTAACCCTGGGGCACACTGCTTTGAAACTGTTCCAAAGATATTTAACATGGAGTGAGGTAAACGGTGCTTCCAACTTTGTCTGAAAGCACAGAGACACCACCCCCACCTCCACTTTACCCCCCACCCCAGCTGCTGAGAGAGACAGCAAAGCCTAGCCACGCCCCCACGCTTTACCTGAAAGACCTCCCTGGCAACAAGCGATCACCAGAGAGGCTCTGATGGAAGCTGTGGTGTGATCTGGAATCATCTGGAATTGCTGTAGCTGTGCCTGGCACCGTGAGACTCCTCAGGTACTGGGGAACAGTAGACACAATGACATTTAAGGAATGCCAGGCAAGGAAACTGTGGAACCTGGTTAGGAGTAGAATTTAACCTGGTGGTCTTGACGTCCCTTACCATACTGAGGAGTCTTGGGGACAACCGAGGGAAAGTTTTGTAAGAAAAACAAAGATATTCTACAATCACCTTAAGGTAGGGACATAAATGTGGGCTGTGTGACCTCATGGTAACACTGGGTTGGTGTAGCCTAGAGAATGTTGGTCATGAGTAAACGTCCATTTACGTGCTGTGCTAGTTTTATATCCTGTTAGCTCAGCTTGTATGATAGTTTTCTATTGCTGATTAAACAAATTGCACAAATGCAGTTGCTTGGCTAACAGGGTTATTACAGTTCTGCATGCCAAACAGTCAACAAAGGTCTCCTTGTGCTAAAGTAACTGACGGTATATATTCCTTTCTGGGGGACCTCAGGAAACACGTTTCCTTGCCTTTCCAGCATCTCCTGCTTACTGTAGTCATTGTCCACAGTAGAGTATCACTGCTGGATTTGCATCCAGCTCTGTCCGACTGTTCCCAGGGCTGAGGACCTGCCGTCAGACAGCTTGCTTCCCAGGTCTTTCTTCCACCATCAAAGCTAGCACAAGATTAACAGGTAGGGTCCTTTCACATTTTCAGGGCTATAGATCAAACCCAGGGCCTCACAGATGCTAGGAAGTGTTCTACCACTGAAGTACATTCCCAGTCCTTGTTTTCTTTTGGGAGAAAGCTGTTGGGTAGGCAGGGAGTTAGGGAATGAGAAGGGGAAGCAAATTCTCAAGGAGGCAGCTTAATACTTTCAAGACAGACATCTCAGTAAACAGCATTCAAACTGCTTATATACAAGGAACCAGATGAGCAGCTCAGGGCACTACTCTGTCCCTGAACCCTAAGCTTAAATAGGTGACAGCAATTATAAATATCTGTGCCTTCCTGGCCCAACACAAAAAGATCTAGAAAGGTAAAGTCCTCAGTAGTACTTCTGGTTAGCTATCAACTCCAGTCTCAAACACCCATCCCTAGGTTTGGGTTACACGGAACAGCCTGCAAGATTAAATCAACACAAGTAAAATGTGTTTATTTCTTCCTGTGTTGGCCTGAGGAGATGGAGTGTCACATGATTATGGTCAGAAGACAGATTTTATGCTCGCCTCAATAAAGCAAAGGCTTGTTACAGCTGTTCTTTGTACTTTCTCCATTCACCTATCTTGCCTTCTGGCAAGGAATTACTATCCTTTCCCTGGATTCTGATTTTCATTAAAACTTTTCTTAACCTTTTTACTGGTGTCCATTTTGTTCCTGTCTGAGAAGTGCTTGTGGAAGATGGCCCTAACCTTAGGCTGCCTCATCCAAAGACTGAGGTGGTTTTCTAATTATGGTGACAGAGTCTCACTGTGGGTGGTCTTCAAATCACTGGGAACTTATTGTGGCCTATTCTTGTAATCCTCCTGCTTCAGTATTCTGAGTTTTGGAGTTACAGGGAGCACAACTAAACTTGTCATATGTGTGTCTGCCTTTTCTTTCACTGTTATGCATATCATTCTGGGCAAAAAAAAAAAGTCTTAACAAAATGGTTCCATTCGCAAACATTCTTGGTGCCAAGACTGACGGCCTGAGTTCAGTCTCAGCTTCCACATGCGGAAGGAGAGAAACAAGTCCCACAGGTTGTTCTCTGTCCCCCAAATAAATGCCCCGCACACACACACACACACACACACACACACACACACACACACTTATGCAAATAAGAAAATAAACAAATGTAATTAACAGATTTTTAATTTAAAAGTTTAAAAAAATCAGAGTAATTCATATACCTTATCAAAGCATATTAGACAAACATAAGAAATGTCAACAAGAAGCAAAACTATGAAAACTTTACACATATGTGCAAACTGAACTACACATTCTTAAGTAACCATTGGATCATGGGTGAACAAAAACATTTTAAAATTCATAGAATCAAATGAAAATGAAAACACAGCTTACCAGGACCTTAGGGTACTGCAAAAGTATTTCTAAGAGGAAAGTTTACTTCTGTGGATGTTTGCGTGAAAAAAGAATCAGAGCTATCTCAAGCGATTAACCCAATAATGTTTCTAAAGTTCGCTTGGAAACAAGCCAAAAAAAATAAATAAATAGCAGGGAAGGTCAAGAGTGGGGGTGCAAATTTGGGGGAGCCACATGCCTGTAAAGCCAGCAATTGGGAGCCGGACACAGGAGGACCAAAAGTTCAGAGAATAGTTTTGTGTAACATCTTTTACTCTAGAACTCCCATAACATGTCTGTCTGCAAAAGTCTGGACCATTAACATTCCATCATGGACTGGAGAGGAATCAAAAGCCCCTAACCATCCCGGAGGATCTATAGGCAGTTAACAATTTCTGGAAGCGTGAGAGACCTTTTCTTCCTTGTTATACCCATTCAGTAAGGTGTCAGCGCTCCTTTAAGTCACCTCCCATCCCACTCCTGCCTGCAACCTAAATGACACTCACTGGGTACCCCCTACAAGACAAAGTAGGATCAGGGCTAATTAGGAAGAATTAATAGGGAATGAGAGAAGGCAATAGAGGTTCAATCAAAGCACATTATGTCTATCCAGAATTGTGAAAGTAATTTTCTAAAGAGCCTAAACATTTCCAGACCGGCATCTTTGTGGTTTAAGGGTCCTGGAGCACTCAGGTCTGCATCCTGAACGCTTCATTTCTGTGAACTCTTGGCTCAGATGTTAATGTAGCAGTGAAGCCTTTCCAGCCCCCTCCCCACTCCATCTTGGTACGCCCATCACTCTTAGCTCTTTCAGGACTCACTACCCCTAGACATACTCACAATTACTTGTTTATTTCTCCTCTCTGTCCCCTCACTCCATAGCACAGGATCTTGTCTGCTCACAGATGTATCCCTAAAATAATGTACAGCATGTAATAGCCACACAATATTTGTTCAAAGAATGGATAGTGTCAGCAATCCCTGGCTTATAGTTCCTTCTAGTGTAAGTAAGTGTACACTGCAGTTGTACAGTTTCCAAGCAATTGAATTGACTCTTTCTGATACAATGTTTCTAACTTAGAAGTACGTCTATTATGTATCTCATGAAATCCTTAGCCCACCTTACTATTTACAGTGTTCCATGTCTAACATAGCATAGCATGCTCATTACCAGTTTTGACTTCAGTGTATTTTTCCTTTCACCTTATTTTCTTATCAGTGTTTTTCCCTAATGTCCTATGTATGTATGTTCAATACACACACACACACACACACACACACACACACACACACACACACACGCATCCTTTTTAACCTTTCTAAGAAAGAGGGAATTCAATAATCCCAGGGAACTTCTAAAATTAAGCTTACTAAAATGTTACTTCTTACCAGGTGGTGGTAGCACACACCTTTAATCCCAGCACTGGAGAGGTAGAGGCAAGCAGATATCTGAGTTCGAGACCAGCCTGGTATAAAGGAGAGTTCCTGTACAGCCAGGGTTACATGGCGAAATCCTGTCGTTTTTCATGTCATTTATGTAAACATGGCATTAAACAATCCATCATGAAGTAAGAATCGTCTAATTCATGACAGGATCAGCATGAGCTCAGATCCTGAGTTCCTCTGGCTTCATCCTTGCAAGCAGACTACTGTGTCTGTGTCCCTCACATTCTTCTAGTGCAAGGCCGCATGAATAGGGAAGCAAGGATGTACAAAGAAGAAAGAGCATGTTTGAAATTGGGTCCTTTTCTTTGCAATTTTTGCCTTGGAATTGTAGCAGAGACTGCTCATCTCATCTTATCTAATCTGTTTTATATATATATATATATATATATATATGTATATGTATATATATATATGTGTGTGTGTGCGTGTATTTACACAATTCTCCCAGCCCTGTAATGATGTTGTCAATAGCACTTGCTTATAGACCATTAGCATCAAAGATGTGTACCCCTAGTCTAAAGCCAAAGGGCTCCCTAGTGGACCCTGTGTACTGGC